AATCTCTCTTGTCAGTTCTGGCTTTGCCATCCATGCACTGACCCATCTACCTGCTCACTGTAAGGAAGATGAAGAGATACATCTGGACAAAGAAACAGAGAAATTATTAAGCCTTCTCTTTTTGATTAATAGCAGAGCTAGACATATTTACCATTTGGGGTGGGAAGAGATTTGGCTGTGCTCAAGAAAGGTAAGAAATGATGAAGAAACACAGGAGATAAACAATGTCTGAGTCAGCAGAAAATGACTTCACAGAAGTGTCTCAACACTGGAGATGTCTCATGAACAAATGGCTGTGATTGCTGCAGTATATGCAAAACATTTCCTAGCCTGACCTGGAGGGCAGGGAAAAAAAGAAAATTAAGGAATGTGCCATCAGTTTAAACCTCAAGGAAAAGGGGGAGGATATTGGAGAGGGAGGGGATCCCTCTTTGTCTCTCTCCAACCTGCTTTATGTGAGCATTCACTTCCCATCCTCCTTGTTGTCAGGACAAATGTGAAGCTACCTGGACAGCAGTGACTTAAAATTTAATTACTTTTATAGGAAATGAGGCATGGAAACTATTCTAAAAAACATGATGTCCAAGGTACAAGCTGCATTTTGCTTTTCACACAGAAAGGTTCTGAATGCCAAAATTGATTGTAAGGCATAGTGGGATGCTGGAAACCTCAGTAATTCTTCCTAGAGCATGGCAATACCATCTTATGAGGCCAAGTTTGAGAAAGAGGAGAATAAATTGCTTGTATGAGCATCTGACACATGGCGTTGTTTGTTGAAAGTGGTTGCAAAGACCAGAAAATTCTCACATATTTGGCCTCTGATCTTGTCAGAATGATCCATAAGATCAAACCTATTCAGTGCTGGTGGAAATATCATAGTGAAAAGAAAAGCCACAACCAAGTCCCTGCAGAGGTCTTGTGTAACACGAGGATGCCTGGATGAGAGTCAATATGTGTCCCAGAAGCACAGGTTGATAATTAAAAGACCAACTAATGCCTGGAGCAATTTAACCTTTCTTCCTCACATCACACATTGTAGCTCTAATGCATTTTCTGTGCTGCCTCTTGTGCTTTCTCCATTTTTGGCATGTTCCTGAGACAGCTGCCACATGTTGAGAACAGTGACATAGAGCTGTTAGGCCAATTTTATATGATATCCTGGGACATCATGTGTTTAGGGGAAATACTCCACTGTCCCAATAGCCACACAGCCCCACTGGTGGAAGCTCAGCCCCTCTTGGTTATTCTCAGAGGTAGCACTGCCTCTGCTGTGAAATTATTCCAAGCGTTGCCCCAGTCATGCTTGTCAATGATACCTTTTGCAGGTGACAATTTAGGTGAAAGATGGACTGTGAAGAGGAAACAGGAAGAAATTCTTGTCTGTGCACCAAACCATGTTTATTTAGGTGTGCTAAAGACTCCTTCCACCTTTCTTTGGCTCATTAGAGACAGCACACTGAGCACAATAGACCTGATCTGGTGTGAGAAATTCCCATTCTCACAGGAGGCCTCCATCAGAGCAGGCACTTCCCTGACAGCTATTACCTGCCTCCAATTTACTGACCACTGGCTCTGCCACAGCTCTATAAAGGGCCCAGCAAATAGTTTATCCCAGGGAAGCAGGGTCCAGCCTGCTCCTTTATCCTTCTCACAGCAGCAGTGAGAGAATTGGGCTGCAGCACACCCGGAGCACAGAGAGCCTGAAGAGGAAAATCAAAGGACACAAACAGTTATGAACCTTGACAGGTGAAAATGTTTGCTGTCGGAGGGAGATGCTGAGATGCCAAGTCAATGCCACGCACAGCAGACACCAGGGCAAAGAGAGACAAATGCAGGACATGAACTGCAGGGATTTCACAACAGAAGAGATCTCTGGCTCCGCAGCTTTTGATCTCTGTACCTTTGCAATGAGACATTTCATCTGGGAGTCAGCTTTATCCAGTGCTGGATTAACTTCTTGTTCCACAGCTTGACCTGTCACCCAGAGTATTACAGAGATGGGCACTCAGAAACCCATACACAGAAAACACATTAGATTGAGATAGATGTATTTAGCATCAGCACTGTGGAATACATCACACTGCTCAAAGCTTAATTTCAGCTTGATTTCCAAAAAAAACCTCAAAAACATAACAACTAAGAGAAGCTTGTGTTTGCATCCAGGCTGAGCAATACAAACCTTTTATTTTGATATTGGTGAATACTGCTATGGAAAGCCTCACCCATATTTGCATCTCTTTCTAGACTTATCAGCAGGACAGTCTTTGGGACACATTTTCCTTTGCCAGAGAACATTAGCTACAGTAAAAGCTATTGCCTCCCACTTAAATAGCTGTCATGCATATAATTTCCTGTGACCAGGACACTGCAGACTTCTGGAACAGGGATAGCTTGTAAGCTGTTCAAAAGACGCTGCTGTTCACTATTTAAAGCATTTAAGGAAAAAAATTTACCAAGTGACCGCCCAGAACTTTTTCTGTGTTATACCTGAAGGATCCCCAAATCTGGCTTTGCTTTGGCAAAGGTACACAGAAATGTGGGTATTTTTATTCACACCTACTCAGACTTTCTGAGGTAAAGTATAGAAAGCATACAAGGATACTGTGCATTTTTCTGGTAAGCACAGTGTAAAACAGAGCTAATTTTAAACTACAAACATTTCACTCAAACCCACAGAGGAGGGTCTATCCTAGGAAGCAGCAGAGTATAATTTCTACTGATGTCATGATATATCAGCTGCAAGGTTTTGGTGCTACCTTGCAGAACTAGATTAGCCTTAATATTTACAGACTAATATTAGACTGAGTGTTACTCTTCAGCTGCCTCCAGAGAAATGTTTTGATAAAGAATAATTTATTATTTTTTTTCAAAACCTGTGAGTAGAGAGAGGGATGTAGAAATAGTTGCCCTCCTGTCTGAATCACTGAGCCCTCTGTATTATTCTCCATTCTTCCATTGGCTCCAATATTCCACTAAAAACAAACCATGGAATTCTCTTGGCTAGGCTCAGAGAAACATGGGAGGAAAGCATTAATTTTCTGAATCAGAATCAATATGCTGCACAATCATTTTCCATGAATTATTTATTCTTAAAGAGAATATGCTAACAAACACTTTGGTCCCTGCATCTCCCCTCACACAGTCTTTTGCAACCAGCTCCTGCAATGTGACTTCTCTGGGTGGGATTATCAATTCAGCTGCTTACCTCGTCTGCAAATGGTAACAAGTTACATTCAAACTAGTAAAATTTCACAAACTTGCAATTACACCCAGTGAAAATTATCAGCTACCTATCAATTGCCTTTTAGCAATGACATTCATTCCTAGATGCCAAGGAGGTTCTCACTACTGCTGGGCAAACTTGAAGAGGTAGAAGACTTTGCTTTCAGCTACTGAGGACACATGGGAATTTTACAAAGTAAGAGAACTTTTATTTTTTGTTAACTTCTTTAAAAATATTTGTCACTAGAGATGTTCCCTCTGTACCGATCAATTACCACACAGTAAAGAGATAATAGGATAAATAGAATTAATTTCCATTAATATAAAGTCAGCTAAAGGAAAAAGTAGCAGAAGGCTACAAAGATCAGAGAAAATGCTTACTGAGTTACTGTGACCAGATTGTTTTTTGTCAATGTTTGAGAGAAGTCAGGGTTTGATGTTTTTCTTCCCGTACATTATTTTTATGCAAAAGCTCTTCTAGCTCAAGTTCAAAAGTTTGATTTATATCCCAAAACCTAGCCAGGCTCCAGTAGTTCTCTCTAATGACATAACAATGATTTTTTGGATGGCTGTCCACAACATGGATGGTGTTTAGCATCCACCTTATTGCTTCATTTATATGTTCACACTACAAGTGAGCACAGCTAATCCAAAGGAATGTCTCTACATCTTATCCTTCTTTTCAAAATGTCCCTCATAAACATTTAAAACTGTGAACAAGCTTGCAAGAATGGGTTTTGGCATGAGGAACAGGTGGTGCTAATGTTGGGTAAATGTTCCTGCAGGGGAAAGACTGGAAGTCTGCTATAAATTGCAGGGGTATTTCTGCAACTGAAAAACTTGATGTTCATTGATGAAGCTGAGAGAGCTCTTTGATGACAAAGCCATCAGGGAGCTTCAAATCATGTCACATCACTGAGTCTTCTTTCTCCATGTGTCTTGGAAAAACATTCTTGCAAACATATGTGATACACGTAGCACTAACAAGTGATGATGGCCTAGAGAAATTATGTAGTTCTGCTTCATCACAAATTCAAGCTGAATACTCTCATACTCAGGCACTTTTCCAGGTCAAATTCCTCTTGTATTTATAATGGGGCAAACTCACTTAAATACCCCCCATGGAACAGAGGAAGCAAGTAAATTAATTTTCCAATTTGGAAAAACACGTCCTAAATAGCCAGCAGGATCAAAACGTCTTTCTGCCCATCAAAAAGTCATACATCTATGCTATAAATGACTAAAGGACTCCATGCTGTGAGGAAAAGAATTTATAGGAGTATACTTGCAGTATGAGGCCCACAATTTCTAAATCATGCTATCAGTGTCCTTTTATAATCTGCAATACTTGTTCCCTACAGTGCAGCACTTCCATAATGCCTTTCTTATAAGAGATCCTCTCCATGGAGGATCCGAGCTGGACAGAACCCCATGTGACAGTGAGCAGGAAAATGTTTCCTGCTGATGAATTTTTCTGGGGCAGTACCATCCCCATGTTCCAGTTTTGACAGGAGAATGGAAACTCACTGGAAAACAGAGAAAGGTACTTCTCTTTCACCTTTTTTTCTCACACGGATGGCTGCAGGGCATGGCCCCATTGTTTCAGTAGTTTCTTTGGGAGTCAATTACATCTCAATTCCAATTACTCTCCATGAACTGCATCTTCCAAGATACAAATCTCAGCCATAAGGAGAGTCCATTTCTGCAGATCTAAACCCAAACATGCCCCACCAACTCCCTTCCCACAGCAGAGCCCTCTGGATATGCCAGTTCCTGACCTTTGTGCCCGGTCTGTGATCTCCTCCTCCAGATCCAGCAGGAGTGCTGCCTGAGCCATCAGCTCCTTGCTGCAGGGCAGGGATTTGAGGTGCAGAATCAGCAAACCAAGGCAAAACTTGCTTCCCATCTCCTCCAGCTCCTGCGTTCCCAGCTGCAGGCCCTGATGGAGAGAAGCACGAGGTTTCATGATTCCTACATATGAAAGTTTCCCCTGCAGAATCATTTGTAAATTAATTAACAGCACATGGTCTACAGAAGCTAACCCAAAATAGCCTCTGTTTTACAGCAGGGGAAACAGAGGCAAAATAAATTTTCAGAAGTCATCATAAGAATTAGACTTGGACCCCAGGAGAATCTGACTGTAAATCCACTTTTACAAATCATCCAGTTTTTCTTTCTCTCTGTAGAGGACCTGTCTACCTAAGTAATGGGGAATAAAATAAGTCCTGTGATTATAAACATTAGGCAGTGGCAGAGATGGAAAAGGGAATGGGACAAGGGGAGGAAAGAGAGGAAGAGATCTTTAACAAGTTATGAATTGTTTTTTTGAGAAAATCAATTACAAAGTAATTGCAAAATAACAAACACCTCTAAGGAATTTCTCAGTCTGTTAAAAGCTGGTAGCACAAACAGGGTTTGTATTATCAACTTCATCTTTCAAGAAAGGAATTCTCCAAGCTGTGGATCCTTGCTGGTTGTGAATAGTCTGTGTTTGGTTTTACACCAAGGGCCTGCATCAGAGTAAGTCAGTGTAATTGATGGCAGTTTCATGCTTCTGGTGAGAGGAGGGCAAGAGACAAACAAAGCTCAGATACACCAGAAAGAAACTAAAACTGCAGAGTCCCTCATCTTTGGCACTTGGAGACTGCATCACCTGTCAGGGGCTGGACCAGCTGCTGCCTCTGCCAATAACAGCCCTGAGTGTTTTTGCAGCAAAAAACATCTCTGCAGCCAAGCTTCTGAGAGACTTCCAGCTCCACTCCCAGGCTGTTTCCTTAGCAACTCTCAGGAGTCCAGAATAAGCCCTGGCCCTAAGCATGGTGTGAGCTGCACATCACTCTCCACTAGATATTTGTTAGTGAGTATCTCATGGGTACCGAACACATTATAATTTATATTATAAAATATAATGTGTTCAGTAATCCATGACAGGGGACAGAGCTCTGCTCTTTCCCTGTATAAAGTTATTTTTGCAAAATGATTTGGGACCCTGTGGTCTGAACACCTCTGTATAGCTGGAAGATTATTTCTGAGCCAAAAACACACAGGTGGATGGAAGAAAGAAGAGATTTCACACAAATGTCTGCAGCTCTCCTGAGGAGTTTTTCAGTGCATTTTTGTTAGAGGACAGAAACTATTTGCACAGCACCACCATAACTTCCTCTCTAGCAGACCCAGCATATGTAAATATCATCTGGCCTAAAAACCACCCTCTCTGATCACAAGTACATTTCCCTGTGGACAAGATATTGTAATTCAGTTTCTTTTCTGAGCCCTGTGAGCAAAGCATGAATTCGTAGTTATGATTAACATAATCTAGAACTCAAAGATGTCCTGAGTGGCTGGACAAGGAAGGACCTGCTCAGAAGAGCACACTCAGTCTGAGGGTACAGCCTTAGTGTTAAGCAGGGTCTAGAGCTCCAGAAAAACTGACTTTTGCCTTCTGAACAGTCTCTTAAGCATGTCTATTACAATGGTTAAATAGCCAATATAATTTTTATTCTCCTCTTATTTACCTCTACTGCAAGCTTTGCCCAGCAAGATATGGCTACTAGAAAAGTTTAGCAATAATTCATAAGAAAAACAAAAATAGAGGGAGAGGTTTATGGAACCTGAGGGTCATTAACACAAAACAATAAGAATGCTCAGCAGCTCTAAATAGATTCCTAAATCTTTTATTATTTTACTGTAAAAGACTTAGGATATTGTAGTGTGGCAGAGTTACAACCAGTAGGAAGAAGTGGTGACATTTCAAAGAAAAAAGATGTCATTTCCACAGCATGACAGTTGTTTTCTCAGGGGCAAAAAATACAAAGAACATCTCGAGGCTTTCCCTGGGGTTCATCTCAGGGTCTTGCTTCCAAGATTAAGGCAACATACTAAACAGCTATCAAGGAGATGCAAACTGTGCCTGAGCTGAAATTCAGCCTGTGGCTTTATGACTCCCTAGAGTTTTAGTCAGGATATGGAGAGGCCTTAAGAAACTATGAGCAAAACAATAATAATAATAATATTAACACCATAACACACCTCAGAAGCCTAAGACAGTAGCTGTTCATGCACTGAAGTCAGCTGCTCTACGATGTACCCATATTGCTTTGATATAGACAGCTCAGGAGTAACAGCTAGAAACTCAGCCAGAGGATTGCCTGCTAGAATACTTTATTCACTTCAAACATGGACATCTATTTATTTTAAGTCAGGCAATTTTCTCTCTGCTTTCTGCTTCCGCAGCTCTCAGCAGAGGGAGGAGCTGGAGGTGCAGAGCATGACTGCCATTAAACTGAAGCTGGGGACAGAGCTGACATGTTGAACTAATGTTATTGATGGCATCTGCCAGCAGTGCCAGGACCTGGTGTAGTGGTTAATAATCAGTCCCACCTGCATTACTGAAAGGGAAGCCTGACCTCCAGGCATTTCCCCTGTAGCCATGTGGCACAGCCAGCTGCAATAATTTTGAGATTGTGCTTACAAGTCAGAGTTATGAATGTATCCTAAAAGAAACAAAAGAAAGAAGAAACGTAGAAGCAATGCAGCCTGGTTTGGTTGAGAAGCTGGTAGGAAGCACAGCTCCGTGGCAGGGGAGCTGTCTGGGTGTTACCAAGTGACAATACATGGTCTGTTTGTCACAGCTGTACAGGAGGAAGCTGCTCTGCCTGCCAGCACCTCCCCTGCAGTGTCCTGCCAGCCTGGATTCTCAGTGACCCCATCTTCTTCTCTGGCATGAGGCTTTACAGCTCTGTCCCCTCCTCTGGCCACGTCTGTGTGAGCAGTGGAGCACGGTGCAAAGCCTCCCACGCCAAAAGGATCCAGGTGAATTCTGGAGGAGGAAGCAGCACCCCTGCACCAGAAAGCTGCAGATTACCTCATCAGTCCTAATTAGTCCAGCCTCAGAAACATGCTAACTAAACCACCCTTCTTTAATGATCAGCTCAAAGCTCCACACAGGTTTTGCTGTCCATTACATCAAAGGACCAGTCTGGGCCAGCTTCAGCTTGATGCAGCACATTCCTCTGCACGATACAAATTGGTCCCTTGGGCTCTGTCATGCAATAATCTTCTGCAGACATCATGTTAAGGGATAACAGGTTAATTGTTTCCTGGCTATTATAGAGAGTAATGGAGCTGAAAATCTTTTCTTAAACCCTTTTCATATTTTCATACTGCAACAGAAAGAATGGGAGGAGGTGATGTCTAATAACAGCCCAAGTTCAAGATATATTTATTTTCCACTGTAATACAAAACAGGGGAGCAAGAATAAAAGACTTATCATTTGGTCTCAACACTGTCAATACAAATTTTCCTAAACAGAATGGATCAAATTGTGTTGGAAAACCAGTTCATTCACGCTCAGCACTGATGCATCAAATAAACACCCACAACTAAATATTTTCAATATCTCTCAGCTTGCCCTCAAAATACTTCCCAGGCTAAATGACAATGTAATGGAAAAACTTTATTATTCATTACTCATGTGCTTTAAATACTCCAGAAGACAAAGACAGTGATAGTTTTGTATCACAGATATTGTTGAAGGAGGTGGAAAGACTCCAGGAGTTAAATTAGAGATTTCTCCACAAGGGTAATGAGACTTACAGTAAAATTAGAGCTGGGAGATACTAATAAATACAAGTAGAAAGAAAATTTCAGAGGGATCCATTTTTTCCTGAAAGGGATTTTTGACATTCAGCACAGCCACATCAGTGGCCTCTCCTGCTTTAGGTCACTGTTCAGTCCTTGGGGCAACAGCTTTTCCCTGCAAACCCACTTCCAGTCAACACATACAAACACACACTTACAGAAATTCCCTGCATCTCAACAGCTTTACACATGCACAATGGCTATGCCCTAAGGCCGGGTATATAAATTGACAGTCTGGTTTCTCACTAATTTCATCAGTGAGATCTCCCTCAGAATACTAATCAAAACCATTTGGAAGCTCTTAGAGGACAAACTTAGGGAGCTGAATGAAACATTTGGTGCCTGGTGTCTGCAGCCTTATATTTAGCTCAAGCCAGCCCTGAAGGTTACTGTACTTTCAACCCCTGTGAATGAAAATACACAGACACCTGCTGGGGACCTGGCTATTTGGACAACTAGGACAGTAGGGAATAACCCAGGTTTTCTCATTCCCCAGAGATCCCTCAGCAGCAAAAATGGCATGTAAAACAGATGAAGTGGAGGGGATGAGAATTTGGGCCAAAACATTTCAAGAGGATTAACTGAGTGGAAAAGGTTGAAGATGCAAGGAAGAAGAAAAACCAGGCTAGCAGGAATTTCTAGAAGGATGAGAGGGACTGGAGTTAGAGACAGGAGATAAAAGGGTGGGAGAGATAAAAGGATGAGAAAGAAGAGAGGGTTGTTGAGGTCAGTGGATGCTGATACAGAGGAATGATAAGAAGAAGAAAGCTAATGGCAACCTTGACCACCTTGGCACCCTTGGGGAAATGTGCCTTGCTCTGCACATCTGTCCTCATTACATCTGGTGCTCTGTCCTCATTACATCTGGTGCTCTGCCCACGTGGTGAGGAGAAAATGCCTGACTTGCTTTGAATCGCCTCACAAAACTTCTGCTGAGCTCAGCTGGTGTTTTGGCTGAGCAAACTTCAACAACACAGAAGTAATTATTGTTTTAATCATTCAAATGGGCTCTTTTACTATTAAAAGGTATGTATGTCACAGGCAACACTGTTCAAGGAACAGACTGAAAGGAGAGATGAAATACCTTCTCCTTCCAATCTGCTGGAGAAAGAGTCCTGGACAAACTGCTCACAGAAGAACTGGGAATTTAACAAACAGAACTCGTTGCCAATTTCTCTAGAAAACCCAGTTATTTAGGTTATGAATTCCCCAGTTCTATTGTGGGGAAAGGTATTTTCCTTCTTTCCACTATCTAGCTATTTGTTTGACATTTCCATTTCCACACACTTCCACCTTTC